CAACCAGAACAAGACTTCTAATAATCAGACTATTAAAAATGCTTTCATTAAAAAAAAAAAGAGGATCAAAGATACAGGGTGTTTCTGCTTCCTGAGACACAGCTATCTGGCTTAGAGTTGTGAAAAAAGGGTCTCAGGGTTCTGTTTGTTGTTCATATGACACATGCAGTCTCTCACTGGAAAAATAAATGTTCTTTGGATTTGGAGTGGTCAGTCATCGAGTCATCATATTGCTATACGCCATTGCGACAATATCCTACACTCCACTGGGGATCCAGTCATGTAAGACTAGGACCCAGGTCCAGCTCCCTGGCCTCCCAACCCAAGATGCCCAGGACAGTGCTTGATTTATTTTATCTTATTTTGAGACAAAGTCTCACACAGCCAAAGCTGGTTTCAAACTCCCAATGTAGTCAAATGTGTTCTTAAACTCCTGATCTCCTGGGCCCATCTCCCAAGTGCTGGGATTACAGGTCTGTGCCACCACTCTCCTGAGTGAGCAACATCCCCAACTGCTACTGTTTGTTAGATGGGCTCTTGTTATGTAGCCCAGGCTGGCCTTGAACTTTAGACCCTTCTGCCTTAGCTTCCTGAGTTCTGGAATTACAGGTATATACCACCATACCCAGCACCATTTTGAAATTCTTGATTCTTTATCAAATCCCCTAGTTCTTTTTTTGCAAAGGAGTCTCCAAAGTAACTGGCCAGTTATTTTCATTTCTAGGACTTCAATAGTCAAGTACCACACTGGGTGACTTAAGCAAGAGATGCCTGGTGTCTTAAAAACCTGGAGGGTGGAAATCCAAAACAAAGATGCTGGTAATGCCAGGCTCCCTCCACCTTTGCTTCTTCTAGCCTTCGATGCTACAGCACTTCTCAGTGGTGTTGGCTTGCTGCTGCATCACTCTGAGCTCTAAAGCAATGTGGCCATTTTCTTCTGTGCCTTTGATTTCATGTGGTATCTTCCTCTCCTATAAGGAGAGTCACTGGTACCCAGGATATCCCTAGTATGTTTTCCTCTGCAGTCACTCTACTTTCAAAAAGTATTCACACTCCTAGGAACCAGGGGTTAGGAATTCCAGTCTACCTTTGCAGAGGATAGTTCAACCATTAATACTGGTCCTATTGCAAACCCAAATATAATATAATTGGTGTTGACACTGTAGCTCAGCTGGTGGAGTGCTTATCTACCATGCCTGAAGCCTTGGACTTGTGTCCTGCACTGTTTGAAATGACCCACAGTTGGAATCCTGATGCTGTAACGATAAACGGCACACTTACTGAAAGTAAAACTAAGTATTTATTGTAGAAATTACTCACAAGATACCAAACAAGTAACCCAGATGAGCCGAGTAGTTTTCCGCCACCGAACTGGAAGCCAAAAGCCGGAAAAAGAGACCAAGATTTCCGTTATTCAATCTTTTATACCTTCCCCCGTAACGCCCCCTAGCCATGCCCAAAAGTGGGCCTGGCTAGTGATGTAGTTCACCGCCTACATACATAAATACGTCTTTACGTCCGGCCATATGCGTCTTTAGTCATGCCTAAAGTGGGTGTGGTTAGCGGTGTGGTAAACTGCTCTTTTATTACCTCATCTGTATGCACCTCTAGTAAGTCACATGGTTAATGGCCGCATTGTTTTCCTCCTACAGAATCCTGGTACTTGGGAGGCAGAGACAGAAGGATCTGGAGTACAAGGTCATTCTCAGCTACATAGCAAGTTGGAGGCCAGCCTGGGCTGCATGAGACCCTGTATCAAAAGCAAAACAAAAACAACAAGACCATCATATAATCCTGCTGTTTTGTCTTTGTGTGTCCTGGGACTGAGACCATTATACCAAGCTTCCTATATGTATTACACCCAAGCCTGTGGAGACTTTAATGAAGCACCTGTCTCCAAAGCTGCAGGGCTTCTTGGATGCTGGAAACAGCCTGAGGAAGGTTCAAACTTTATTTAACCTTAAATCCTATTATAGAGTCTGCATTTGATGCAATTTATATTTGAACTATAAAATTTTTCTGTAAGTTGAAACATGACCTATAAAAGGTCGCTGCACCCTGAAGCAACATTCTAGAAAGAAATCAATTGGTCCTTTTCCTTACAGAAGCCATTAGCCAGAGGATAGATAAAGGAAAAACTTCCTCATGCTGATTGAACTCCAAACCCAAAGCATAATTTCTAAAAGGCAATGGCTTCATACAGCTAAAATGCATTAGGCTATTATTAGATAATAGAAAGCCTTTAATACAGCTCGTGCACCTACTGCCTCCTACAATGAAGGGTCAGGAGCACTCAGATGTGTACCCAGGCCTTGTTCCAGACATCAACATCTGGAATCAACACTCTGCATGACAAGAGGGGTCTTAGCCTTCTCTTACACCTAACACATGGCTCCTGTGAGGTTCCTGGGTCCTTAACAGCCCTTCAGTGAGCTGAATAATGGTTCCGTTGGTAAAGGGCTTGCCTTACAAGCATGAAGGTTGGAATTTGATCCCCACACTCATGCACACTTGTAACACAAGTGTTAAGTTTCGGGGAGCAGATAGGTCCCTGGGGTTCCCGGGCCAGTCAGATGAGCAGTTGGCTCCAGGCCAATTACAAACAAGCCTTGCCTCAAAAGACCAAGATGAACAGGAACAACAGTGAAGGCACACATGTACAAACACACACACACACACACACACACCACACACACACAAGATCCTTCAGTGACTTGTCCCTCCTACATTCAGATCTAATTAAGATGTTTGGTTTTTTTGTTTGTTTGGTTGGTTGGTTTTTTTGTTTTTTGGTTTTTTTGGTTTTTTTTTTTTTTTTTTGTCTTGCTCCAAGAGAAGATGGCTCTGTAGCCCACAGAGGGTCTTTTCTCAATCTGCTCTGGGAAAGGCTAAACCAGCCCATCTAAAACCTTAGGAAAACATCACACAGTATTATTATGATGTCAACTGTTGCTCTTCTGTTCTGCAACAGTGATTAATAGCTAATATGGGTGATATACAAGTATCTCTCTCATTCCCATTTTTTTTGCATCACCAGCTGCAGAGAGCTGATCAAAAAGGCACATGTAAGCCAGTGTTCCTGAAGCCACCTCTAAAATCACCTCCCTCAGTTATCCAGACCCATACTCCTTGTGAGGCCTCAGAATCTCGGGTGACTGCAGCCAGGAGTGTGCAATGTAAAAAATACATGCATGGTAGCACATGCCTATAATCCTGGGCATTTAGGAAGTTGAGGCAGGAGTATCACTGCAAGTTCCAGGCCAAGATGGGCTACAAAGGGAATACCAACCTAGCTAGGCCTATATAACAAGACTCTGTTAAACAAGTAAGGCTAACTAGATAACTCACTTGCCTAATGCCTTGAGTTCAGCCCACATAATAGAAGGAAAGAACCAACTCCTGCAAGCTGTCCTCTGACTTCCACTTATATGGTGAATCTCTCCCTCTCCCTCCCTCCCTCCCTCTCTCTCTCTCTCTCTCTCTCTCTCTCTCTCTCTCTCTCTCTCTCTCTCTCTCTCTCACACACACACACACACACACACACACACACACACACACAAATAATAAATGTAAAAAAAAAAAAACGAAAAGACAAAATCCCACAGAAACAAGCACAGCTCACTATATTTAAGTCGACCCAGGCTGTGCTGGCCTGGCTTCTTGGAGGGTCACAGACCTGACTGCAATCAATTCCCCTCTGTTCTCCTAAACAGGCCTCAGGTGTTTCCCGTCTATAGGAACTAATGGGACTTAATATGTCCCCCTTATCTGCCTTCTGCAAGCATATTTAACAGGCTACATCAGGAAGCTTCCAAATGGAGTTTTTTGAGACATTTGCTAAAGTGAGCTGTTCTGCTTTGAATGACAGTACAGAATCCCAGTGCAGCAGGGGTGGCTTGCCAGAGTCCTGCCTTTCAACTCTAGCAAGACACATTAACTTTGAAAACTCGGCCACCTACTGCAACTAACTCCCACTCTTCGTTGGGATTTTTTTCCTTGCAAGATCAAACGAAATTCCTGTTGGATGCCCCTGTGCTTCTGTGCACTCATCTTCAGCGCAGATATTGCTACTGTTTTATGTTTCCGCTTGAGGCCCCAGGCCCTGGAAGACAGAGACCACATCGGCTTTATACCATTGTTGCAGCCCTGGTCTTGCCAATCATACTAGCGGTGCTTAATAAAAATTAGATGATAATTGGGTTGCAGACATAAAGGCTGGAGTAGACTGAGGGTGCCCTTCCTGGCGGGTCCCAGAGGGCGGAGCTGATGGAGAGGGTGTTGATAAGGACTGCCGCGTTGACTACACACGCCGGTGTACAGGACCCGGGAGATTACGGTGACCTGGAACTAGCCTGGGTGGGCACGAACCCGTCTCCCCGGACCAAACTTCGGGAGTGAGGCCCGCTAGGACTGCAGCAGGCAAGGCCGCGCCCTAGCCCACCCGACTCCGTCCCGCACTAAGCGACAACCCTGCCTCAGGCTGGCCAGGAGCTCAGCTGAAGGATCCCAGGCCGCGGGCAGCACTTCCGAGACCCGCCTCTGCAAACAGACGGACACTTTAGCCCCGCCTCCGGCTGATTTGAACCCGCCCCCAGATCAGCCAAAGGACCGCCCCCCTAAGCTCCGCCCCACCTCGGACCGCCCCATACCCACCTCGGGCCGCCTTCCAACCTCTAGACTCCACCCCCAGTCTTGGTCAAGGGCCGCCTTCCGAAACACCCCTCCATCCCCCCCCTCCCCACCCCCGCTCAGGCCAGTGTAGACCCCGCCTTCAGATTGCCAGCTCCAGTTCCACGAACTTGTTTAGAAGGCGTCCGGGCCGCCGGCGTTAGCCTCTCCCTAGCTAGGCCCCACCTCCCAAGGCGCAGCAGAGCACGGACCCCGAAGATTACACCCCGCCTCTGCTCCTGCCCCACCGTTCTCACCTTGCCCCACCTCCTGGGCCGGAGCTTGACTAGCCCCGCCCACATCTTGCCGCCTCTTTGCTCCGCCTCCTCAGACTCAGGTCTCGCTTCCGCTGGTTTCCAGGCAACGCTGGCCCCGCCCCGCGATGGCGCCTGAGAACCACGAGGGGCCCACGTCTCTGCTGCAGAGTTTCGAGCGCCGCTTCCTGGCGGCTCGTGCGCTTCCCACCTTTCCCTGGCAGGTGGGCGGTGGGCTCGCGGCGCGTGTCGGGGGTCGAGCACCGGGAGCTGCTGGGCCGGGCGTCTCGGGATGCCTTTGCTCACTTCCGGACCAGGGGAGGCATGCTGGGCCCTTCTCTGGCAGAACTTGGAGGCTGGATTATTTTAGCGACTTTTAAAGCCGGTGATCGGTCATCTTAGCGACTGCAGAAGCTTTGAAAACTAAACATCTTCAGACGGCACGAGCCGCGCTCTTTTGCAGGGGAGGTCAGGTCCCCATCCGAAGGGCAGGCTGCAGGCAGAACCATTTCTGGGCGGGGGGGGGGGCAGTTCAGAGGGGAAGGAACCTCCCGGTGGTCTGGGGACATGCAGCTCGGGCAGGAGATTCCTTTGGATCGTGCCTCGCTGGTAACTCGTGTGCAAGGAGCTCACCGGCATGAGTCACTGTAAATTTGTATTCCTCCAAAGTCTGCCCAGTTTCTTTGGGTGGTTTAGATAGTTGTGTTATTTCATCGACATAAAGCATAATCTAGTCTTAACACAGAATGGAACTCTGTAGTTTATGGGTCCCCATTCAATGGCAAGTATAGTTCATGTGCCTAGCTAAGTACTTGCTCCGGCTCTTGTCACTCGGTTTAAGAAGGAAAGGATCAGGGCCAGAATTCTGACCAGGGAGACCAGCTTCCTGCTTGGAGTCCTAACTCAAAGCCGGGAGGTGGCCTAGGCCTGTAATCCCAGCATTCTGCCGGGAGAGGCAGGCTGAGGCAGATCTCAAAGAGTTCAAGGCCAGCCTGGTCTACAAAAAGAAGAATCCTAGCTCAAACTCCTATGTGCTGTGGAAATTATATGCTGTGGGACCGTATGTAAGTGGCTACATCTCTGCCATCTTTCCTTCCTCCCTTTCTTGCTTGCTTTTCAAGACAGGGTTTGTCTGTGGCTTTCGAGCCTGTCCTGAAATTCACTCTGTAGACCAGGCTGGTCTTGAACTCACAGAGATCCGCCTGCCTCTGCCTCCCAAGTGCTGGGATTAGGCTGTGTCATCATTTCTAAATAGCACAGTGGAGATACAATGTCTCTTGCTACCAAACATCTGAGCTTCTTTTCCTTTGCCCAGCCAGAAACTATAGGTAGACAAGAGGCTCAGGGCACGCTGATCTCTGGTGACTTTGTTTTCCTGTGCCAACTGTAGGCAGGCAAGAGCAGCAATTGCAGGTTTCTTGCATATGGGGACCTCCTTGGTCCTTGTGGTCTTGAGGAGTTCTTGGGGTATTTTGGCTGTCAACTTTCTGGCAGACCTAGGTATTGAAGTTCTTCAACCCTTGGCAGCAGCCCTTACAAACATCCAGACAGGTCTTGTGCAGGCCTTGGAAGTGAAAATTCCTTAGCTCTTGACCATGTCCAGCAGCCAGGCAGCTTTTACCATTCTGCCAGCCACCGTTGGGTCGCTACAGCCACTGCTGCTCTGCTGTCTCTGCGTCTGCTTTCTCCTTGTGGCCACCTCAGCCTGCACTACTGAAATAGGCAGGAGACCACTCCCTCCTTGAGCCACGGCAGCAATTTTATGTAGGTATCTGAACCAGTCACAGCCTGGCCTCTTGGTACCATCCCAGCCACCAGGGGACATGCTCCCCGTCTGCACACCAAAATGGGTGCAGTGTAATAGAGTGTGGACCCAGGATTATGACAGCAAAAGGTCTGGTGCAGTGTTTCAAACAGCCCTGGATGAGGCTGCATCTTCAGGAGCCATGAGAATCAGCTATGGTGTCTAAAGGTGTTTATGGAGTGTTCAGACAGCCAAGGCTGATATGAGGGAAGTCCTGCTAGTTGTCTGACTGATAGTCCTTTTGCTTAAGGCAGCCAGGGCAGGAAGGGAGAGTTCAACAGCTCCAAATTAGGGAGTCACATTGCCTCCATCTCCCAAGCCTTTGCTTATTTATAGGAAAATGAACACAAGTGTGCTTACACCAAGGACCTAAAGGCTTTATCATGAACACTAATTGTGGATTTAACAGCCTTAGCAATGTTTGCTCCAAGATAGGCAGCCCCTCCTGCATCTCACTTTGTGGGAGTACTTAAATACAAACCCCAACTCGCACCTGGCTGTGGAAGTGCACCCAGTGTTGCCTAGCAGTTACTGGGTCACTAGATGTTTACTTACTGCTGTCCCTGAGCTAAACACCAGGGCAGAGCAGAGCACTTTAGAGACCAGGTCCGCTCAGACAAGAGACAATAAGTAACCAGAAAACACCAGGCAAAAACACGTGTGGAAGCCAATCACAGCTCGGGATGCTAAAGCAGGAGGAGCTCTGTGAGTCAGAGGCTAGCCCCAGCTACAGAGTGAGACCCTATCTCAAAAGAAAAAGCAAGGAAATGGCAGACAGTAGAGTCATCAAAGGCCTCCCAAAAGAGGTGACATTTGAACTGCTACCCGAGCCTTGAAGCAGTCAGCCATAGGATGGCCTTGGAAAACAGGAAGCAAAGGTCTTACGATAGGAATATGGCCGCTGTGATTAAGAACAGTAAAGGAGCTGGTATTGCTATAGAGAGCAGGGATGAGACCGAGTGTAGATGAGGTGGATCAAGGCAGGTTTTAAAGGACCTGTTAGGACATAGTAAAATACTCTGGGTGGCTTGCTGTGTGTCACATAATTGCCCTGATTGGAGCTGGAGTCCCTGTAAGAAAGATGGCATGGCCAGGCTTGGCACCACACATCTGAGTTCCCATTGTAGCTTGAGTGGCAGGTTGCAGGCCTTTACGCTGTAACTGATTCTTAGCTTACCAGCTCAGCCTCAAAGTTGCTGTGACCCGGGTAACTTCAGCACAGCCACAGTGATGTGAATTGGGAGTTAGTCTTCTCATACTCAGCACACATGGCCCATGGCATCAGACTGAGTTCACCTCTGGTGGCTTCCGCTTCAGGTTGGTTCCAAGTCCCTGGGTAGAGGTTACTAGTGCTCTTTTACCAGAATATTCCACAGCAGTATAATATTCTGAGAAAATGCCCCTTAGGATTATCCCTTTCTCTCTCCTTGGAACAGAGCCTAGAAGAGAAATTAAGGGAGCCCTCGGGTTCTGAGCTACTGCTGGCTATTCTGCAGAAGGTAAGAGCCCCAGCATCCCCAGACAGCAGAGCCAAGGCTCACTGGTACCCTCTTCAAACAGTGTCCAAAGAACAAAGATACAGCACTTGTGTTGGCATGCGCATGGGTGTCATCCCCTCACACAGCTCTGGCTGCTTGGTTTTAGTGAATGAAGATATTCAAATAGATTACTGTACAAAGTAAGGGAAGCTGGGGGATGTCTTTTTTATTTTTTAAGCCGGTCTTTATGAAGTACTACTATGCCATTTTTTTTAAAGATGGTTTTAACTTTCGAGTTTTTCTTTTTTAGTATGTGTGTGGGTGTTTGCCTACATGTATATCTGTGAAATATATGCATAGTGTTCTTGGGGGCCAGAAAAGGGACTGGAGTTAAAGACAGTTGTGATCCACCATGTGGGTACTGGGAATCAAACCTGGGTCCCTTGGAAGAGTGAGCATCCAGTGCTCTCAACCACTGAGCCGTCTCTCCAGCCCACCTACCTTGGGAAGTCTTGATCCACAGGGACACCAGGTGACCGGTTACTGCTTCCAGCACTTATTAGCTGCTTTTAAATGTTCTTCGAATTTAAGGCAAAAATAAGAAAGCTCATCTTAAGCCGGGCGTTGGTGGCGCACGCCTTTAATCCCAGCACTCGGGAGGCAGAGGCAGGCGGATCTCTGTGAGTTCGAGACCAGCCTGGACTACCAAGCAAGTTCCAGGACAGCCTCCAAAGCCACAGAGAAACCCTGTCTCGAAAAACCAAAAAAAAAGAAAGCTCATCTTGCTGGCTCAGTATCAGAGGCAGAGGTTTGGTCCCAGCAGTGCATGTGCCTGTGGGTAGAGGCCTCCTGAGTCAAGGACAGATCACACCACCGTGTCTTGGGCCTTGACCTTCTTAAGGTCCTGACCTTAGGAAGACTACAGTTCTTCCTCCCCCAAAGGAAATTACCAGAGGAGCATGTTTGCACACAGATTCAAGGAAAACACAGACATTTGCCCCCAGCTACTAAGCTCACCCTAGGAGCATAGACCAGGAATTCAAAGTCAGCCTGAACTATACGGGGAGATCCTGTTATCAGAAAGGAGATAAAGGAGGAAAAGAAGGAGGAAGCAGCCAGACTCTATTATATCCTTCCATGGGTAACCCAACAAAAATTAGAGCTTACTGCTTCAAGATCCTATGGGGTTACCCTATGGGGTTACCCATCGATAAACCCTCAGTAGGAAGCTCTGGAGGACTTAAGGGGATCCTGTGGTCCTCCCAAGGTAGCAAGCTACACCTTCCCTTAGGCCCATTCCCATCTGCTTCCTGCTGGTCCTGTGGTCTCCTTTCAAAACTTCCAGGCCAGAGCCACCAGAAAGCTACCCCACACTGCTCTCTCTGCCTGGAGACCCTGCTTCTGACTCCTGGAGGCTTCCACTGAGTCATTAGTTCATCTAAACGGAGCCTTTGCTCTTCCATATTTGCCCACTAAGCCCCCATCTCCAACCCCCCACCACCACCTAGGCCTCATAGCCAGGAGGACAGGCATCTGGTGGGTCTGGTTCCTGTCACTGGACTCCTACCTCCTCCATGAAGCCAGATACCCCACTTTTGTCCTCACAATAGACTAATATTCCTGCCAGCCTGGATGGACAGGAAAGGGCCTGTGAGCTCAGGTTCCTGCACAGAGCTGTGCCATTACATGGAAATGCGGTAAGGAAAGATCTTAAAACTCAACCTTAAATTGGGAGTGGGAGCACATGCGCTAACCCTAAGGCGGGAGGACTGCAAATGTGAGGCCAGTCTGTGCTATATAGCAAGACCATCTCAAGAAAAGACTCCGTCTTGCAGGGTACCCAGGACACACACCCCCATTGTCCCTGCACATCTTTGCTGGAACATCAGGCTCCCTCCAATCGTGTGAAGCTTCTAGGACACTAAAGGCATGTCTCTGTAGCAATCAACTTCTTGTGTTCTGTTGTCTAGACGGTGAAGCACCCTGTGTGTGTACAGCACCTGCCATCTGTGAAGTATGCCCGCTGCTTTCTCTCAAAGCTCATCAAAAAGGTCAATGATGGGCTGCAGCTGCCGGGGCCGGGCCACATAGGGGAGCACAGGGGTCCAGAGCTCTGCCAGGTTCTAGCAGCCCCAGCTCCCTGCCTTGGCTTGCTCTGTGGAATATGACGGGAGGGCAGGGTGGGGCAGGGTAGGAGAGAGACCAGGGCTCTCCGCAGCAGCTTCATTTCCTAGACTCAGGTTCTCCTTCCTGCCAGACACCCCTGCCACTGAATAAAGGATGCCACCTGCTTCCACACTACCAGCCATTTCCTGGCTGGCCCACCCACCCCTGCTGAAGTTTACAGTGTCTTCTCCTTGCCACTCTAGCCAACCAGCCAGAGACAGCAGCAGCAGGCTAGCCTCACTCAGCCCCTAACAACAGCAGCTGCTCACTCGGCTCAGCCCAGGTGTGATCTTCTGCACCACCCTGGACCCCAGAGCCCCCGTACCTCGGTGCCTCTGTAGGCAGCACCAGGAGAAACAGGGCTGTGAGGACAGGTGAAGCCGCACCTCAAAGCCACCGAAAGGCAGCCTGGAAGCTGCACTGGGAATCTGGGCTCACTTGAACACGTCATCTAAGGACAGTAGCACCTCTCCTAGGCAATGTGGCTTTCTCCTGGACTCTGCCTCCTGACCTAGGCCTTACCTGCTCTAACCCTCTCCTCACCTCTCCTTGAGGCACCCCACCAGCACACTTTTAATTCTGTTGATTTTAATTCTAAGTTGTTCATTTCTAAATCTGGTTAAAAAACAAAAACAAAAAAAGCAGGCTGCAGCATAGCTCAGCAGAATACCAGCCCAGCATACACAAGGTCCTGGGTTCCATCCCCAGCACCACGAATGCTGTGAACGCCACCTAGTCCTGTTCACAGAGCAGACAGAAGCAAGTGATGGAATGGTTATTTCCAGGGGTTAGTGAGCCCTCTGTTGAAGCTCACTCTCTGTTCCCAGCATGAGGCTGTGCCCACCGAGCCTTTGGATGCACTGTACGAGGCATTGGCAGAGGTTCTGATGGCCAAAGAGTCCACCCAGTGCCACCGGAGCTACTTACTGGTATGAGACATGCATGTTATTGTGTTGTGCCTACCCCTACCCCACCACACACACGCTTGTCTGTGATTGGGTCATTTGAAAAGTATTAGATGAAGGGGATCACATAGCATAGGACTTAGATTGGCTCCTTTCACTTAACACAGTACCCTCGAGATCACCCATATTTCTGAATGTAGTAAGTTTGTTCCTTTTTATTGAGTACATTCCAGTGTACAAATATTCTGCTCAGCCATTCAGTTGCCGTGGTTTAGGACCTTCCAGTAATACTGATAGCCTTGTTCACCCTCCTTCCTGTCTCTGCAGCCTTCAGGAGACTCAGTCACACTCTCTGAGAGCACAGCCATCGTGTCCCATGGCACCACAGGCTTGGTTACATGGGATGCTGCACTCTACCTAGCAGAGTGGGCCATCGAGAACCCAGCAACCTTCACTGACAGGTGACCTAGAGGTACAGGGCAGGGTACGAGGGCAGATTGCACTGGTGAAGTTGTGAACAAAGGTCCCTGTCTCCCACTCAGGACTGTCCTGGAGCTAGGCAGTGGAGCTGGCCTCACAGGTCTGGCCATTTGCAAGGCGTGCTACCCTAGAGCATTCATCTTCAGTGACTGTCACGATCAAGTGCTTGAGCAGCTCCGTGGAAACGTGCTCCTCAATGGCTTCCCTTTAGAGCTGCACACTCCCACTGACCCAAGCAGCCCAAAGGTGACAGTGGCCGAGCTGGACTGGGATGAGGTGACAGCTTCTCAGCTCTCTGCTTTCCAGGCAGACGTTGTCATTGCAGCAGGTAATGCCCAGACAACAGCAGAAAGAAGCAATGGGTGCTGCAGGCAGGGATAAGCAGGGCCCCAGAGAGACACCCTAGACACCCTAGACACACACAGCACACACTCCAGAGCCCCAGATCCCTCTGTGGAGACAGACGCCCTCATTGCTGTGGCATGAACAGCTGTCCCAAGAAGACTTAGGATGAGCAGGGCAGGTTCCAGGGCAGCACACTAGCCTAGACTACCTCGTCCCCTCCCTGATCCTATAATAAACACAAGAGCGGTCCTGCCCATCACACCAAGACTGTGCCTTCCATTGCTGGTGATAAACAGCCGCTGTGCATCGTCAGGTAGGGCGGACTGACCGTGCAGCCTTGGTTCTCTACCTGTTGATAGCACCATCCTAGGTCATGTTTCAATGGGCAGAGGCCAATTCAGGGAACGGGAGCTGAGTGGCCCTGCCACACTGTCTATGCTGGCTCCATGCAGATATGACAAGGATTCATTATTATCATCACTATGCCATATGGTCTTGGCTATACCCACCAGTACATCTGGGTCCCAGATCCCTGTCCTGATGGAATCTTTGAGAGAAAGCAATGTTTGCCTGGACTACCAAAGATTCTTCCTCCCCTAGCATAGCAGAGGTCACCAGAAACAGCACCTCCCACACTGCAGCTGATACACTAAGTCCCCCAAAAAGCCCAAAGCCAGGCTAGGACCTGCTCACCAAGCAAATGAGCAAGGGGCACAGAACCGATGTTGCCAGAAGGGTGGCTTCCACTGTAGAGGCTTTTAAACTCCCTTTCACCCAGGGCATCTGCCTGTGGAACAGCACAATTCTTTACACCGCCACTCAACATCATGGTCCTTTCCCCATGCAAGTCAGCCCAGAACTACACCCTCGCTCTGGGTGCAGATCCTAATAGGAGGCCTTTTCAATAACAGCCTTTCCGTTTTGTAGATGTGCTATACTGTGGGGAAGTGACACTGTCACTGGTCAGGGTTCTGAAGATGCTCAGCGACTGCCAGAGGAAGAATGCTCCTGATGTCTATGTGTCCTATACCATCCGCAGCCAAGATACCGGCAAGCTGTTCATCACAGAGCTGGGTCAGTTCCTGGCCTGTGGGCCACCAGTTTGTCCCCAGCAGGGTTTAAAAGCTGGGCTGACACTAGTCTTGCTAGCCTTGCTCCTCAGCAGCCATCGCCTGAGGCCCACCTGACCTGCTGAGGCAATGAGCAGACATTTGAGTACTCTGCAGCTAGGAGCTAGGGGGGATTTTAGGAAAGGGATAAGGGGCCCCATCTGCAGAGCCCCCAAATGGCAGTACCATGAGCCTTGTCTGTCCTCCAGTCTGACTCACTGAGTTATCAGCACTCGGGATGGCTGTACTATCATCCCGAGAATCTCACTAAGGCACTCAGGTCAAAGCTGCCCACACTCACCCACCACAGCATCTGTGGACAGACTGACAGACTACCCCCATTCCACATAGGGCAAACAAGCAGGGGAATGGTTCCAGAAAAATTAGAGCTAGGAGGAATTTGTAGTGTGCCAGCTTGTGTTTGCTGTACTCAGGTGGTAGGGTTATAGGACCTCCCATATTTTTATGCCTGTGCTACTATTATTTAAATTACTAGCCTTACTTAAAGTGTAGTTAAGAGACATATTGGCCCACAGTCCTTACAAGCCCCATGAAACCAGGCGGCTGCAGTTGGATCTTCACTCCTCTGCCTGTGCCAACAGAGTAGACAGGTACAGAGCAGTAGGGGACCCAGTAGGTGTGGTGGGAGGGGCCACACCTGTTTCAGGCTAGAGAGATCAGCAGGCAGATGTGCTCACTGCACAAACATGAAGACCTGAGTTTGAACCCTCAGCACCCGTGTATAAAGTTGGGTTGTGAGCCAAGAGGAGGTAGTGGCTCACACCTTTAATCCCAGCACTTGGGAGGCAGAGGCAGGTGGATCTCTGAGAGTTTTAGGCCAGCCTGATCTACGTAGTGAATTCCAGGACAGCCAGGGCTACAAAGAGAAACCCTGTCTTGAAACCCCAAAAAAAAAAAAAAAAAGTCAGGTTGTGGCCACAGCACTGTAACTCTAGTGCTGTTGGGTTGGGGTAGGAACAGGGTTGCTGGGGCTTGAGGGAATAAGGTGGAAACTGGCAGAGCAGCACCCTGCATGCTCCTTAGACTGAGCATGCCCACACATGCAGACCTTTAGGGCATCTGCATGGGCCTGGGAACCTGTGGCCAAGTAAATCAGCTCGAATACACAACTGTGTCAACAGCCATGCACTAACAGATTGGCTTTCTGTTCCCAACACTGCCCTCCTGAGATCTCTGTACTTTGTCTAGACCGAGCAGGGATCTACTGGGAAGAGCTGCCCCCTCACGCCAGCAAGCTGTTTCCTTATGAAGAGTATTCAGCCATCGTAATCCTGAAGCTGGTGCTGAACGGTTGCCACAGTGTTGGAAAGTGACTGGAAACGAGATCACTGTGGTGGGAAGAGTCCACAGGAAAGCTGAAAAGGCTCTTGTTAAATTACAAACCACAAAGGTACAGTAAGCATGGCTTTGAGTGCTGGTGCCTGCCCTGTCAGCTCGTCGAGAATGGACACAGGCTCGGAGCAAGCATTTCCATTGTACTAATAAAAACATGAATTTATCAAGTATGACTGTCCTGCCAGGCAGCTCAGGGCTTGCTCAGCTAAGCCCAGTGAGCACACGATGTCCCAGAGCTCATGGCAGCCCAGCAGAATTAGAACACAAGGAATGTGAAAGTCAGGAGACAAAAAAAAAAAAAAAAAAAAAAACAGGGTCACCAAAGAGAAGTGCCTCTCAGAGACACTGAAGCAGCTGCCAGACCATTCATTTCCCAGATGTCGTCCACTGCGGTCCTTAGGCTTCTGACCACTAGGTGGCACTCAAAAGCCCACCAGGGACAAAGTGGAGCAGGTGCTGTCTGGGAAGGGCTCCACACCAAGGATAGGTCTCTCGCCTCCAGCCTGAAGGTCATTTGTGAGTGACTAGAGGGAGCACAGTCCGCTGCCAGCTCTCATCCCACCGCAGTTGCTCCGACTCCCGGAGCTCCTTCCGAAACTGGTGTAGCTTTCCAGCAGGGTCAGGAAACTTGGAGAAAAGCATCTACAGGAAAAGGAAGACGGGAACTCAGCTCCCTGCCCACTCTAGCCCATGCCAGATCATTCTTGCTCATGTCCAGCAGTGCCCCTTCCCTCACTATATACTTGAGGGGCAATCTATTTACCCACAGCCCTGCCCTGGTGAATGGCCAGCCTCCACCTGCTGTCCTCTTCTCTCGCCCTCTCCCATCCCCAACACAACTGCAGGTTCAGTTAAGATGGAGGCTATGACAGCTCTGCTCTAGGTATCTATCAGGGACCAGCAAACTGCAGCCTTCAGGCTAGATCCTGCCCACCTGGCTTTGTAAATAAGGTTGTACTGGAACGCAGTCTACCTGCACATGGCCACAGCTGCATTTCCATCCACACCAGGATGGAGTTGCAGAATTCTCACATGGACTTAAGGACAGAGCCTCCCTCCATCAGTACAGAACAAGTCCCTTGTCAGAATGAGAGCACATTAGTTTTATAAGGACAAATAACCTTCTACAGCTCTCTTGGCCCACTCTCCCTAAAGGGCAGCACAGATCCCATCTTTACACACAGGAGGCAGGAGTATATGTCTGTGTCTGGCTCTTCTAGCCCTCAGCACTGTGAATGACCACCGGCAGCCCCGGCTGAGAGGCCATCTTGAAGGCCTCTGCTTCCTCCATCCCAGAGTCCCACCACAGCTGTCCTTGTGTGGGAGGCAGACCTCAGGGAGCCGGTCCAACACCAGGCTTCAAACCACCAAGCCCCGCAGGGAGAAGGCCCACTACCTGCAGCTGTGCGGCCAGCTCCTCCGCGTCCTTGAAGACCAGGCCATTCTCTCCATGTCTTACAAGCTCATGCAGACTGCAGAGAGAACGAGGGAAAAGAAAGGGAACACAACTGGGCCACCACTACTCCCTCAAGTGAAGCCAGCATCAAGAATGGCAGGGTGGCCTCTGTTCTAAGATGGAGTATTTGGACAGAAAAGCCTACAAGAGCACATGTCAAAATACCAGGCTGATTTAGAGAAGGGAAGGTGACCTTTCTGTGCCAAGATGGTTTCTATGGGTTTTTTTTCTCCACTCCAGCCTAGGGTCCCAGCTCTACACACTAAGGGCAGCTTTTCAGAGTCACTAATAGATTTGATCCTGACAAACCCTGAGCTTGGCTCACACAAGGGTTTCACATCCTGAACTCTGCATCCAGAGGCTTGTCCCCAGCTATCAAGCTCCAGCCTCCGTGTCCACACCCATCCTGCTGTGCATGATTCCCATCCAACTGTAAAAGATGAGCCACAGGACAGAGATAAATCCAGTTGACTGCAGACAGCTCTGGCTACCATGCCCTTCTCACAGCATCAGCCTGAACAGAATGCTAACCATGAACAAACTCCAGCCATCCCTGTCCCTGTATGTGTAGGACTCATTCCTGGAGCCCTTTTATAGCCACTGATGCTCAAGTCCCTTATGTAAACTGCTTTGCATATGACCCACATGAACCCTGCTCTATATTTCACATCCTCTTTAGATGATTTCTAACATCCCAGCAATGGAACAGGATAATGAAGCTAATGTTGACACAGACCCAATCAACATACACTCATTGTGTAGCACAGGCTGGCTTTAAGCTCAGGGATACTCTTGCCTCTGCCTCCAGGCTGCAGGCGTATACTAATATTTACCACACCCTAACGACATTTTGCATCTGGGTGACTGGCATGGTGTGGATGCGCCAAACTGACTGTCCTTCACTAAGGCTCAGCCCAACCACAGGGCATCAGGGCCGCCAGCTGTTGGTATAGAATATGCCCCAGGTAAGGCTCAGTATCTGCTCCTACCACTTGAAGTTCACAGCACACACAGGCAAGCAGCACCCAAACATGTCCACCACCTTCATGGGCAAGTCCAGACCACTGGAGGACATGTGTAGACAGACTCCCAGGTCCGCTGACCCTGCAGAGACAGTCAAAACACGAGGATACATTTCCCAGTCTATGTGCCAACCACTAGACAAGGAGTGGAAATCAGAAGCTGTCCCTGTGAGACTGTCCACAAATACAAATAGCTGGCCAAGGAGCCCGGCAGCCTGACCAGACACAAAAACATGATTGGCCACTGGGACCTGTCTCACACTGCCTAACGATTAAAATTTGTTTTTGTTTTTATTTGTATTGATTTATTGTTTCTACTCAGCCATAATTCAGTTTCAAAGAGAAAATTCCAAGGCAGTCACTGTGATCAGCAGAATTTTTGGCTATGGTTGTGGTTCTTTCAGCTTTGTCGATAACACTACCTAGTGACCACTTAAAAATGACTAGAGGCGGCTGGCTTGGCTTAGCAGGTGAAGGTGCTTGCTGCCAAGTCTGACAAACTGAGTTCCATCCCTGGACGCCATAGTAGAAGAGAGCCAACTTCTCTAAATTGTCCTCTGATCACCACATACTTGCCATGGCACAAGTGTGTCGTCATCCTACCCACCCACCCCTACCCCCACAATAAATAAATGAATGACTAGATACAGTGACGGCTTTTGTTTTATGTATTTTGCCAAAATAATTTTTAAAAAACTCAAGATAAATGTGGAGCATGCTGGGTGTGGTGACACAAACTTTTAATCCCAGCGCTCAGGGCTAAGGCATGAGGCTCTGCTGCAAACTCAGGGCTACCCTAGGCTACAAAGATCCTGTCTCAAAGATTATAGGGTAAAAAGAGAGGTTGGAAACATGTGCCCCATCTGCCCCTGTGGGATAGTGTAGTATGGTCCTCTGTCCCCCTGAAGCCTGCCCTCTCACCTAGAAGCAGCGGGTAGTCCTCGGCCTCCAGCCATGGGGTGCAGAACTGGACATGCCGGAAGCGCTTCTGGCTGATGAGCTGGCGGTAGTGCTCCCTGAGAGGCCCCTTCCCTTCAGAGAAGAAAAGTCACTTACATTGTCACTCTCCATCACTGCGCTGGGCAACCCTTTCCCATGACCACAACCACCAGTCCCCCATCAGACCCTGACATTCCATGGCCAAAACGCTAAGTATACCCCAGCCAGCTGGCACAGGGCTACAGGTTGCAAAAGGGTCTAAGATAAATACTAGAGTGCCAGCATATGGACACAGAATCTTCACCTGCACCGAGTGACACAGGGACTGTCCTAAGCATGCCAGGGTCCCCTAGGAACCTGACTGGGAGAGAGCAGGAGAAGGTGGCTGCCTAACCCTCTGACTGGACAGAAGACACACTGCTTCTAAACTACAGAGACTAGAAGTGCACTGGAAAGGGGAGAGTGTGGTCCAAATAGTACCATCCAGATTGAAATCTGAATTCTCCAGTCCTTTCTGAGCCTCAGCTTCCCTATTTATCAAGTGAATGAGAAACAATATTCCCAGGGACCTGGTGACACAGGCCTGTCCCAGCTACTTGGGAGGCTGAGGCAGGTTAGCATATCAAGGCCTGCCTGGACTACACAGTGGGTTCAAGGCCAACCTGGACAACCTGTAAGACCCTCTCTCTACACATAGATAAAAGCTAGAGATGTAGCTTGGTGGTGGAGCACCTGCCTAGCTTGAGCAAGGTCTTGGGGAGGAAGGGAGAAATTACCCTGGAGGACTGAGGTGATGACTAGTGAGACAGTACCCTACAGAGGTGTTCTGTAAAGGTCATATGCCTCTGCCATCCTCTGCCCTTCTAAAAGAATATGACATGGCATTCCCATCAGTACCTGTTATCACACAGACTAGGGAAGGAAGGCCGTCTCCACTGAGTGTTAGTTGTTCAAACTCTGTTAAAAAGAAAAAAGACACCAACCAGGAGAGGATAAGATGGTATGTATATTGGGGACGCTGCTCCCCAGGGGGCTGCTAGTCTCAAGATACATTCAGAATGAGGGTCTAGTCACCCAGTGACCATGTAAGGGCAATAAGCTTCCCATGCCTTCCCTTACTGTCTCAAGCTGGCCCACCCATGACACCAGAGGTACACCACATGACAGGTTGCCACAAAAAGCCAAGTAAGTGCCTAGCAGCAGCCCCTCACAAGCTCCAAGCTGCTAATGCAGCCACACACCTACTTTCTAATGCTCCCAGCAGGATGGAGAAGTCTTCGTCCTCTACAGAGAGAGAAGGGAGAGGGATCATAGACTGCCTCCCAAACTTCCCACCCAACTCATACATCCAAAGACAAGCTGGGCACACACCCCAGGTGCTGAGGGAAGCAGACCTGTCCAGCTAGTGCTGCTCACAAGCAGTGCTGGTCGCCCATGCAGACTCCTCACCATCCCGCTCTGACAGTCCCTCTCGGTGAAGGCCGACCTCTCCATGCCCGGGTCCAGGGGCTCTGAGCTGAGAATCAGAGGAAAGGGATGAGCTACTAGACACTGTGGCACAGGAGTAGAGCCACAGGCAGGCCCCAGCCCCAGCCATTTGGCACCCCATTACCTCACATCCTGGTTGCTGGCACTGAGGTTACAGAACAGCACCTACTCCACCACTCAGTTGCACCTGCACAGTCTCCCAACTCTACCTGCTCGGCATCCCAGTGAGGAGGACCTGCCCCGCCTCCCAGCAGCCACGCCTGGTTCCCAGGAGCACACACAGGACATGGGCAGAACTGTAACAGGTGCCTTCTCTCCCCAGTGTGACACCAAGAGGACACTGAGGTCCCCCTGTCCCACAAGAACCCACTGGCAGCAGGATGAGGTAACATAGGGCTCAGGAGGCCGTTTCTTAAAGGGCCGGAGAGTAGATGCTTCAGGTTTTGTGGCCCATAGACTCTTGTGAAACTTGGTTCCACTGCTGCAGTTTGGGAGAAACACTGCTTTTAAGGTAAGGTAAGGTAAGGGCTTGCTGCGTAGCCCAGGCTGGCCTCAAACTTACAATCTTCCTGCTTCAGCCTCCACAGTGCTGGGAATAGACATTCACCACCACCCCAGACATCCAGCAGCCACCGACATTACAGGTGAATGGGTAGACTGCTCCAATAAAACCTTATCTACAGCAATAGGTGGCAGGCCACAGCGTTAGCTTTCTGCCCTGGATAACGGATACACAGGTCTACAGGAGACCAAGACAGAAAAGGTAAGGGAGACATACCAGCTCTGGAAAGAGGAGTACGTGCGGCTCAGCTTCATGAAGAGCTCATGCTGCAAGTCCAGGGGCGTCTCCTTAAAGAAAGATGCTGGCTTGTCGTAGACAGTCACAGCCCTGACATGAGATGGGATTGGCAGAGAAAAATCTAAGCAACAGGACACAGCAGGATCCCCAAAAGCAAGGGAGCTTGGGGAATCCCGGAGACAAGAAAATTCAGGATTACTTAGAATAGTGTAGATATTTAGGACCAAAATGTCCTAGGCCACATGGCTGGGAGGGAAAGACAGCACAGTGCCCCCTCCCTTAGCTTCTCAAACCAGGAACTCTCTCCCAGGGCCTGCGTATTTCAGCACAACAGGGCAGGCGCATCAGCTCTAAAAGCACATGGGTTGGTACGCTTCCCAGGCCCTGCATACCTGATATGCCAGTTCTCCGCCAGGTCCTCCCGCATGGCACTGGTCACACACAGGTTCAGGTGGGACAGGCGCCCGAAGAACTTCTCGTACCTACAGAGATGTCTTGGGGATCAGCATGGAGTGTGGGATAAGCCTAGATGCCACCCCAACCTCCAAATGACTTGATACCCATGGGTAGTGAAAAGGCTGCTGAGCTAGGGCCCTTGAGCCTGTCGGGACATGCCATGAATGAGCCTGTCGGGACGTGCCATGAATGAGCCTGTCGGGACGTGCCATGAACTCCCTGTACAGTTACTCTAACTCCCGTACAGTTACTCTAACTCCCGTACAGTTACTCTAACTCCCGTACAGTTACTCTAACTCCCGTACAGTTACTCTTTCACACCTTCCTTCCCTGACACTGTTCAGCTTACACACAGTTACTTTAAAAAGAAACACTCTCCACAAATCCAGCCTCATGCAATAGAGGAGAAATCAAGTAATGGCCACTTAACCAAGCCTCGGCCACCCTGGACTAGCAGGGCTGCAGCTCTCTCACTGTGGTATGAAGGGAGTTGAGACTTTGTCCCAAGAGCATGAGGAAGAGGAAGTCGGGGTTACTAGGCTGTGGGCTGGGAATGTGGCTCAGCCGACAGTGCTTGCCTGGCAAGCTCAAGGCCCTGGTTCTGCTTCGAGTGCTGCAAACCCAGGGCACAGTGGTACACTCCTATCCAAACACTCAGGAGAAAAGGCAGGAGGATCAGAAGCTCAAGTTCATCCTGTGATACACAGGGACTCTGAGGCCAGCCTGGGACAGTCACTGTTTCATATACATATGCATGACTAAGGATGTAGCTCAGTTGGTAGACTGCTTGCCCATAATGCATCAGAGTCCTGGATTCCATCCCAGGCATATCATAAAAGTGTGGCAGTGCACACCTGTAATCCCAGCACTTGAGAGAGAGACGAAGGCCAGCCTACATTAAATGAGACTCAAAAAACAAATTTAGGGGCCAGATAGCACGGGCTGCTCTTCCAGGGGACTCTGGTTCAATTGCCTACATCCACATGGCAGCTCACAACCAGGAGATCTGATGCCCTCTTCTGGCCTCCACAGGTACCAAACACATGACAAGCATTTAAGGAAAATGCCCATATAAAACTAGTTTTTAAAAATTAAAATAAATCTGAAAAAAAATTACAAAAAAATACATGAAAGTAGGATTACCAGCTGGGCAGCGGTGGCGCATGCCTTTAACCTAAGCATTCAGGAGGTAAAGGCAGGCAGATCTCTGAGTTCGAGGCCAGCCTGGTCTACAAAGGGAGTTCCAGGACAGCCAGAGCTACACAGAGAAACCCTGTCTCATCGAGGGAAAAAAGGATTACTAAACTGGGTGTGGTGGAGTGTGCCTATAATCCCAGAGGATAAGCAGCTGAGAGAAGAGGACCAACACGAATTCAAAGCCAAAGTGAGCAACGAAATGAGAAAAAGTATTAGCTGCCACCATAGTACCTACTGCAGTCGTTTCTTCCCTCCACATATGGAGAAGGCTCTGGAATGGAACTCCCTGAGACTGATTCCTGACTTACTTCCTGGGTGGGAAGAGACAATATGACTCTCAGCCCACTCTCCTAACTTATACAGTGCACCATATCCAGGGGTGATGGAGACAGATGGGAGACACAAGGGCCTGGCCTGGCACCCAGCATGAAGCTGGTGCTGTGTGACAACTGCCCGGGCTGCTGGTCAACAATGAGCATCAGTCCCGGGAGGGGAAGGGAAAAGGCACAACTAGCTACTCCCAGAGCTGGAAGCACACAATGAGACAGGCAGCCAGGGTCAGAGGAGAACCAAGGACCCTGCTCCAGATCCAGCCCGCTCCCCCAGGCCCTTCTCCTCCCCCCCCACTCCAATGAGGACTCAGGGAACCGCCCAACCCTCTCACCATTTGGCCAGCAGCACAATGGGATGCCGGGGGCCGTGTACCAGGGCCATGATGGAATAGCCATAGTTGTGCCAGTCGATGACCAGTTTGCTCCCACAAATGCAGCCCACAAACCAGCATACAGCAATGGCAGGCAGGCCTGGTGGGTTCTAGGAAAGAGAGACTTGGAGGCAGTGGAGGAAGCGCAGACCATGGCCTGTGTAGCCCGACTGAAGAGGAGTTTCCACACAGCAAAGAGCAAAGAGACCATGACCTATAAGGTTCTCACCAGTCAGTGGGCAGAGGGAAAACCCTCTCCACCATCAAAAAGAAAAACAAAGAGTAAGAAGTTATTTTAAAAAAAAACTTCCCAGTCTGAAAACCCCCAAATCATCAACAATCAACAGCAACTGAGTTAAGGAGATGGCTCAGTAGGTAAAGAATTTGCCACACAAGCATGAGGACCTGCATTCATGCTAGACCCCACATATGTAATATACTTAAAAATCTGTGCATTCTGTGTATTGCCTGGGACTCAAATTCAAGACCTCACTGAAGCTCACCCACAACCCAGTTTGTGCATGTTTAAAAGGCCAGCAAGTGAACTGCTAACGGCGGTTCTCACAGGAGGAGGCGGCAGCTGGAACACACCTGGAGGAAGATGTAGGCTGCAGGCTCTGTGCACACCAACTTCCATAGCAAGTACACTGCCTGAAATACAACTTTGACTCCATACTGGAGAACTCGGGGTCCAGCTGCAAGTCAGAAAACAACGGAGCTCTTGGAAGTCTGCTAGTCCCCTCATCTGCCCAGTACACAACCACCCCTCCAAACCACCTACCCCTATTCAGGAACCTGGAGCTGTCTAGACCTACCTCCCAGACTCGGCAGCTCTGACAACTTCACAATCTGAATGCTATCATTCTGCAAGAGCTCATCTCGAGGTTTAGAGTCTGCAAATGCAAATAAATGTGCCCTTTAAGGTATCAGAAGTAGTTACAAACAGCTGGATGTGTTCCTTCACATCTGTAATTCCAGTATTTGAAAGGACAAAGCAGGATAGGGTATTCAAGGCCAGCATGTGCTACAAAGCAAGACCCTCTCTCAAATAAATAAGGCGGGGGGGGGGAGTGTTCCTATCAATACCTCTCTGGTCCTCAGTAGCCAGAACGGAAAGTGAAGCCACTTTGTGTTCTTCTACTAGAATATCTTCGAAGCTGGGCATTGGTGGCTCACACCTTTAATCCCAGTACTTGGGAAGCAGAGGCAGGTGGATCTCTGTGAGTCCAAGGCCAGCCTGGTCTACACAGCAAGTTCCAGGACAGGCTCCATAGCTACACAGAGAAACCCTGTCTCAAAAAAATCAAAAGGAGGAGAAGAAGGAGAAGGAGGAAGAGGGGGGAGGGGAGAGGAGGGAGGGAGGGGGAGGAGAGAGGAGGGAGGGGAAGGAGGAAGAAGATGGAATGCCCTCAAAGGGCATTCAGCATATCCATGTTCTTTGTTTTGTTGTTGTTGTTTGTTTGTTTTTCTTGACAAGGTTTCTCTGTGGCTTGGAAGGCTGTCCTGGAACTAGCTCTTGTAGACCAGGCTGGTCTAGAACTCACAGAGATCCGCCTGCCTCTGCCTCCTAAGCTGGGATTAAAGGCGTGCGCCACCAACGCCCTGCATATCCATGTTCTTTAGCTTGATGGCTGGCTAGCAATTGGGACTCAAATTGATGTAGAGTAGACTCCTGGATGTCAGAGTCTGGGTCAGTCCCTTCCAAACAAGGCCTGTGATGGCATTCCACAGGGACCAATAAAAGCTACTCCCACCTTTCCTTAAACGGAGCTGAGCCACCCCCTAAATTCGCAGATGTGTCCAACTTGAGATGCCCAGAATGTGTGGGAGGATGGCTATGAATGTGCCTGGTGTGCTGGTAGATTTCATATCGCTGTGTCAAAAAGCCTGCAGGGCTTGGTAGTGCACATCTTTCATGCCAGCACTCTAAAGGCAGAGGCAGGTGGATTTCTGTGAGTTCAGGGGCACTGTGGTCTACATAGCAAGGTCCAGGACAGCTGCTTAGTGAGACTGAACCCCTGCAAAATCAACATGGGGCATAATGAGGAAGTGTACACTTCTGCCTGCACCTTAGGGAACAAGAAAAACATCCCTAGATAGAAAGGCTCTGCGCTGGATGAGGGACGTAAAGAAACACGGCCTCTTAGCTCATTGACAAGGCAGCACGAGGAAATAGTGGCCAGTACTGAGGTCTCAGCCCCGGTCTTTGTACTACCTAGAATTAAGTGGGACCTTGGAACCGATCTCTTCGTAGTGCTCACGTATGGTAACCGGCGGGTGACACAGGCAGTAGGAAGCAGCGGTTCTGGCCAGAACAGGCAGGACAAGAGCACAGCCACTCCTGCCTCGGTCTCAGTACAGAACGAGCCAAGGCTCTAGGCTGAGCATCCCTCCCAGGTCCCCGCCACTCACTGTAGAACCCCAGCAGCGTCACCGAGAAGCCGCTCTGAGCCAATGACAGCGCGTGGTACTGCATGCGGGGGCTTCGGCCCACGTCGCCCAGCACCACGACGACCACGTGAGAGGCTGAGCCCGCCTGCCACCCTCGCTTCCACGCGCCCAGCAGCAGCACCGGCAGCAGCAGCACCAAAGCCAGCAGCGCCACACAGGTCGCCGCCATCTTGGCCGGCCGGCGCCGGGCACGTGACCTAGAATCCTCGCAGTGCGCAGCCGCAGACCCAGGCCCTGCTGGGGGACGATGAGACCGCCTCTGTAAGGTAGGGGGCGGGGCCTTGGATAAGGCGGTGTCTGGAAGAAAAGGAAAGGGGGGGGGGCTGGAAGGTGGGGGCGGGGCCTGAAAGGGGGGCGGAGCCTAAAGAGAATCCCAGGCCCTTCAGTAACTAACTGCTTAAGCAGCCCAAGAATCGGTAAGTCATAGCCATGTCAAGTTCCCTGAACTGTGTTTTTTCCCTATGAAAAAGCTGTTCCTTTATTAGACTCTAAGAACTTCTTTTTCAGAACTCTAAGATAAATTTCAAACTATACTGATGATGTTTCCTGCTGAAAGACTATACTTCCAGCTTCCTTCGCAGACTATGAAGTGATTTCCATCCCTGTAAAAGGCCATATTTCATCTTCTGTGGGCATCTTGGCCACCGGCACACGTAGGTAACAAAAATACCCCCAGCGGTGAACAAAAAAGGTCCCAACTAAGATCAGACCAAAGCTCTCTTTCCACCCTCCTCTCGCTACAGCTACCTTTAAATGTAGCAAGTGAGATTTTAAAAAGGTCCTTGTTGTCACGGTAGATTTCAAGCTCAGGAACCCACACAATGGAAGGAGAGAACCAACTCCCTCTAATGTCCTCTGACCTCCAACTCACACTGTGACACACGTCTCCCCAACACACACACACACACACACACACATGCGTACACACGCTAAATAAAATTAATTTGGATGAATATTCTAGTTATGTTAAAGAAAGAAGCCATTCCCTGGAGAGTGTATATACATGGGAACTGATCTTTGTTGATAGAAGGGAAAGGTCCACAGGGCCTCCAGCTGGTCATTCTCTCTTTAACAGAGGTGCCTTCCAGTGGGAAAAATCTGTTAAGCAAAATACTTCCCTCTTCATGTGTTAAGATGCACGCATATTGGTTACATTTCAAATACAAAAGAGCAGCCAGGCATGGATAGCATATACCTGGAAACCTAGCACTTTGGGGATAAGCAGAAAGATCAGGAACTCAAGGTTGGCCTCTGCTTCATAAAGAGTTCAAAGTCAACCTGGGCAGCATAAGACTGGATCTCAAAAAAAATAAATAAGGGGCTGGAGAAATGGCTCAGCATTTAGGAACTCTTGCTTGCAGTTATGAGGACAGGCGTTCAGATCCTAACATCCATGTATCAAGCTAGGCATCACTCCAGCTTATAAGGAAGAACAGGATCCTCAAGTTGAGAGAGAGAAGGAACAGGCAAAGAGTTGCAAAGGAAGACAGTCAGTCCCATAGTATATACACAAGCATGGATACCTGTGAGCTCACACGTGCATGCACACACACTCACAAAGATGCACACAGAAACATAAATAAACAAATTTTATTGTATTTTTGTTTTTGTTTTTTTACGAGACAGGGTTTCTGTGTATTGTTTTGGAGGCTGTCGGACCAGCCCGGCCTCGAACTCACAGAGATCCTCCTGCTTCTGCCTCCCGAATGCTGGGATTAAAGACATGTGCCACCATCACCTGGCAAACAAATGTTTTAATTAACTAAATAAGTGAAGTGGAAAAACAAAAATAAATAAACTAAGAAAGATAGCAAAAGCCATAGATTTTATTGGCATGTACTGGTCACACAAAGTCAGAGGTAGACTATGTTTTTTTAAAAATGATATTTCTTCTTTATTTTGTGTGTATGAGTGTCTGACTGCATGTGCATATAGGCACTGTATGTCTGAAGAGGTCAGCAGAGGGCGCTGCATCCTCTGGAACTGGAGATGGCTGCGAACTGCTAGGCAGGTGCTGAGAACCAAACCTGGATTGACAGCTGAACCATCTCTTCAGCTCACTGTGGCGGCTCTGTGCGTACATGTAGCACATTTGGACCTTGCTCATTGTGGTGGTTCAAATGAAAACGTCTGCTAAAGGCCCACAGGAAATGGCACTGTTGTCAGGTGGTGTGACCTTGTTAGAGGAAGTGGTCCCTGTGGGCAGGCTTTGAGGTCTCAGATGCTCAAGCCACACCCAGTGTGAAAGTCACTTCCTTGCGGCCTGTGGATCCAGATGTAGAACTCTCGGCCGCTTCTCCAGCACCATGTCTGCCTGCACACTGCTATGCTTCCCACCATGATGATGATGGACTGAGCCTCTGAACTGAAGACCAGCCCCAGTTAAATGTGTTCCTCTGTAAGAGTTGACTTGGTCATGGTTTCTCTTCACAGTGGTTAGATCCTAACTAAGACGCCATCCTCATGCTGAGAAACCCGGTGAGCACATTGTGAAGCCAGCCATATCCTCCTGGTGGGAGCTGTGCCAGCTCATCAGAGGCATGCCTGGAGCCCTCAGTGGCCACTCCTAGGCCAGTCTCAGTGTCCCCAGGGCTTGAGACAGGACTTGGCAATCTTTCACTGGCTTTTTACAATGGTCCATGACCTTACATTCCACAGACTGGGGAAATCAAAGCCACACCATTGGAAAGTATGTGTTAGGCGGAGCAGGAGGCTGTGGCTTTCAGATGAAAAGGAAGCTCTGAAGGTATTGATTACTTTTCTCATTGCTTTGACAAAACAACCTAAGGAAGCAAGAGTTTATTTTGGCTCCTAGTTTGATTGTACAGTCCATCAAGTGGGGAAGGCGTGGCAGGAGGAGTATGACGCAGCTGGCCAGATAGTGTCCACAGTCAGAAAGCAGGGAGCTGTGAGTCCTGGAGCCCAATTCACTTTCTCCCTTTTATTCAATCCAGGATCCCAGGATCCAACCCATGGGATGGTGCTGCCCACATCTAGGGAGGGTCTTCACACAGCAGTTAACAGAAATCTAGAAACACCCTCAAAAAGATACCCAGGGGTTCGTTTCCCACGTGATTTTAGATCCTATGAGGTCAATGGTCAAGATTAACTCACATCTCAAATGTGAGATGATGGCAGACCCAAACCATGAGCACAGTGGTCACTCCAGGTCCACTTGAGGCTTCCTGGCTGGATAGACTGACTACATGTACCAAGGGCAGCTGCCACCCATGCCTGTGAGCTGCAGAGGAGACACAGCTCTCTTCAAAAACTTCTCAGATAAAGCTAGGATTCTTGAAAAGAATTTCAGGATGAGTCAAAAAGAATTGAGGTTTATCAACAAGACCACACCTCCTAATAGTGCCACCCCATTTGGGAGCCATTTTCTTTCAAATCACCACACTGAGAAAGGAAAAATACAAAATGTACGGTTTGAGGAGATTAGGAAAATTAGGAAGTGCAATGTTGGAGCCAAATCCAGATAAAACGTTTAAAGAAAAGCCAAGTGCTAAATGGAATAAAAGGAGTGGTGGCCTCAGGCAAGACCACACTGAGCTAAGCAAATTACAAATTATGAAAAGAAATTAAAGAAAAGCAAAGGCAGTGAAGAAAAGCAACAGCAACAGAAAACTGGTGCAGATGTAACTGAATGAGGAGGCCAAGTTCCAGCCGCAGTCAAGGATCAGAACTTGGCAGCTTTGATCAAGTGGTTCTGACTTTAGAATCAAGGAAACAGGAAAGGAATTGTGAAATACTTCCCTCCATAGCCAAGGAAGGCTACTGAGGCGGGCATGTATCAAGGGTGCCCCTGTGTGGAGGCCCAGAGAGGCTATTGTGGGAAGCTGTGAAGGTGAACATGGATTGTGTTGGAGACCCCCAAATGTTAGACATGCCAGAGTCATGGGATAATGGACTAAACATCTGAACTATAAGCAAACACCCAATTAAATGTTTTATTTTATGAGTGGCTGTGTCGTAGTGTCTCTTCATAGCAACAGGACAGTGACTAAAACACGCCTTTCCTCACTGGCTCATGGTACAATCTGGGTCTTGTCTTTCCCTCTACCACTTAAATTTGTTTTCTTTCTTATCATTGTTTTCCTCAACAAAAGCCATGTGCAGGGTAACCTATGGTTTGCATCCTGTTTTTCCTAAAGCTTATCAGATACATGACCTTATCATGTCTGCAGATCCTTGGGAACCCTGGCTGTCCTTGTCTGTTAGTGACTTTTCATTCTAAACATCTAGTTTTGGGGATGGCAGTCAGACTAACTGTTCAGATGGTAGTAGCTGTTCAGTTGGAACCTGCACCTCACCCTACATAATATGGAAAACAGCCATTCCTATCTTCTGTCTTTCTGCCTCCAAACCCTGCCCAGAGAGTCTCCAAATTCAAAAGAAACAAAAACCAAAACCAAAAACAGTTCCTCATTTTTGGCAGTTATTACAATTTCCTCCCCTGAAGTTGCCAGCCACCCAAGTCCCCAAGTAAAGAGCTCAGCTTTTGACAATACTTGGGCACAACAAGCCCAATTTGTGGTAGGCATGTCATCACCCCTTGCCTACAACCTATAAAGTCTTCCTACTTTAGTTATTGGGGGGGGTGGAGTGCTTCTCAGGCCTCAATCTCTGGGACTGGAGAAATAGCCTGGGAGTTGTTTTGCTCAAATAAACTTTTTGTTTATAACTTTTCAATTTGGCTTAATCTGGTTTACTGGGTCAGTGAAGAAATTCGTTATAGGGCAAAGGGTTGGGGAGGGCAGAAAACCTATTAGTAGCTAATAGACTGCCATCGGGAGTCCAGCATTTTCTGTTTATCAATAATTGGACCCACACTATTTTCGCTTTGAAAATGAGCCATTTGATTTTACTTCTTATATTCTGTATGACTGATCTACATCTTAGCACTCCTGTTATGTTTTTAAGTTTTGAGTCAGGATCATCAGGTTGCTCTGGCCTTGAACTCGCTATAGATTACAAGTTGCCCTTAGATTTACAGTGGTCCTCCTTCGTCACCCTCCCAAGTACTGTGATCAGAAGCATGTTCCAACACCTAACTTCATAGCTTAGATCTGTTCCCGCTGCTCCAGTGCCATCCTGTGAAAGCTTGTGAATACAATGTACCTGCCAATGAGTTAGCTCCAAACTTACTTAAAACAAGCAAACCTGTTGGTCACAGTGGAACACACCTTATTTTATTTTATTAATTTTTTTCATTTATTTGAAATACCAACCAGTTTCTCCTCCCTCCTCTCCTCCCATTCCTTTCCGACCTCGCCTCCCTTTACCTCTCTCCCCATTCACTCTTCCTCTGTCTCCATTCAGAAAGGGGAGGGCCTCTCATGGACTTGAACAAAGCATGGCACATCAAGTTGAGGCAAGACCAAGCTCTTCCCTCTGCATCAAGGCTGGGCAAGGTAATCCAGCACAGGGAACAGGTTTCCAAATGCCAGCTAAGCACCAGGGACAGGTCCTGATCTCACCACTAGGAGTCTTACAAACAGACCAAGCTACACACCTGTCACACACATGCAGAGGGCCAAGGTCAGTCCTATACAGGCTCCCTAACTGTTGGTTCTGAATCCCATGAGCTCCCACGAGTTCAGGTCAGCTGTCTTTGTGGGCTCCCCTGTCATGACCTTGACCCCCCCTGGCTCATACAATCCTTCCTCCCTTTCTTTAGCAAGACTCCAGAGCTTAGCCCAGTGCTTGGCTGTGGAACTCCACATCGGCTTCCATCAGTTACTGGATAAAGGCTCTCTGATGACAATTAGGATAGTCACCAATCTGATTGCAGAAGGTGGCCAGTTCAGGCACACTCTCCACTATTGCTAAGAGTCTTAGCTGGGGTCATCCTTGTGGATTCCTGGGGGCTTCCCTGGCACCAGTTTTCTCCCTAACCCTGAAATGGGACCCCTTATCAAGATGTCTCTTTCCTTACTTTCAGACCCCCAACCTGCCTCCTGCACCCAGTCCACCCCACCCACTCCCTCAAGTTCCCATCCCCCTGCCATCCCCCCACCCTCACCCTCAGTTTCCCCAGGAGAGCTCTTCTATTTTCCCTCCCCAGGGGAATCCATGCCTCCCTCTTTGGGCCCTTCTTGTTATCTAGCCTGGGGTACATGTGTTTAATTATAGCACTTGGGAGGCAGAAGCAGGTGAATCTCTAAGTTCCAGGCCAGTCTGGTCTACAAAGTGAGTTCCAGGACAGCCAGGGTGACATAGTGTAGTCCTAGTGGTAGGGAGAAAACTTTGGATTTTTTTTTTAGCTTCAGTCACCCATGGCTAGATCAGTGGTGGGAAACTAAGTCAAGAAAGATAAGGGAGCTGGGGACACAACTGTCATTCAGTGAAGTGCTTGAAGTGCTTGCTGAACAAGCATGAGGACCTGAGTTCAATCCCTAGAACCTACATAAAGCCAGGCATGATAACACATGCTTGCAATCCCAGCACCAAGACGACTGAGACAGTAGGATCCCTGGAGCTCACTGGCCAGCCAACCCAGACTGCTTAGCAAGTTTCAGGCCATTGAGAGGCTCTATCTCAGTCAAGGTGGATGGCTCCTAAGCAGTGGTACCATGATACCAGAGGCTGGCCCCTGGCTTCCACATGTGCTCGAACACACACACACACACACACACACACACACACACACACACACACACACACACTGCACCCACACAAACTCATACCCATACACACTTACACACAAAAACAACCAGCAAACCTCCTGTGCCAGACTGGTCTGACCATGCCCATGGCCTTGTGGTGACCCCGGCAGCCCTGCCCTAGCATTGGTCTCCAAGTCTTCCTGGGGAAGAGGGGTGGAGGGAGAGGCGGGAACAAGGTATTTAAAGGATCTGGGAGGGTTCCTGGCCTTTCAGGGTGTGGCCATTCACCAACAGAAAGCCATTCATGGCCAGGTTCAGGCTGTTTCTACTCCTGCTGCTGGCCCTGCCACCACAGCCCTCCTCACTGCCATGGCCAGACACTGCGCAGGGCACCATGGCAGGCCTGATCCTGACTGCACTAGAGAAAGCCACCTTATTCCTGGAGGACAGGCTGCCTGCAATCAACCTGGACGGAGCAGTGGGATTCCAAGTGCTAGAAGGTATGTGATCCTTGCCACCGGATGGATGCTAGGAAAGCCAGTTCCCCCAAGACCTGAGACCCCAGGGCCCCCTGGATAAGGTGAGGATCCTTGGGCTCTTCCTGAGAGTGTGGTTCTCAGCCAGCTCTTATCAAACTTTGTAGAATAATGACTTAAAGACAATATGAAAAAATATTTGGCAATTATAGTCTCAGAAGGAAAAGATCTCTTTGACAGCCCTTTCTGACAGGCTGGGAACAGTAAGGGATTATCACTCCCCTTGCCTAAGGGTGGCTGGAGACAAAACAGGAACCCTCCCCCAAAACATGCCCCTGCCTGATTTCCTCCCCTTCTGACAAAAGCAGCTAAAGGCCCCAAGAAAACAGCCAAGTGTTTGTTAGCTTTGGGAGGCATATGATCTGGAAGGAGTGGGCTGGAAACTGGCCAAAGTACACCAAGACACAACGGTGTGCGAGCATATGAGTACTCGTGCAGGTGGCAGTGAGCTCCTGCCCAAAGTGACAAAGATCTCATGCCTGGTGTCTACCTAGTCTTGGGCAATAGTCGTCCCCTCGGAGATTCCCATCCCCTCCAGGCTGAGATTAAGTGAGACAGAGACATATGCAGTTTTGCCAAACCCCATCTAGCATAAGCTAGATGAGGTGATGTGTGCTTGTGATCCTAGCTCTCAGGAGACAAATCAGGTGAGCTTTGTGACACTGAGGCCAGAATGATATACATGGTGAGTTCCAGGACAGCCAGGGATACAGAGAGAGATCCTGTCTCCAAAAAAAAAAAAAAATCCAACAAGGAATGAAGAAGGAGGAAGAGAAAAAGGAAGAGGAGAGATAGTGGGAGGGAGAAAAAGAAATAATAGTCATGATTTACCTCAGGCTGTCTGGCTTTCATACCAATGCTACCCCCCATAGTTTTAGGAACCTATGAAGATATCTTAAATGGTAGATAAATAGACACCGGCCATAAGAACAAATCCATGCCTCCAAATGCCTTCACCAGTCTAGACTGTTCCCTGCTTATCCCTCACATACTAAAGTCTGTCAAGTCAATACAAAAAGCTGAGATTTGGGGCTGGAGAGATGGCTCAGTAGTTACGAGCACTGACTGCTCTTCTAGAGGTCCCAAATTCAATTCCCAGCAGCCAAATGGTGGTTCACAACCATCCATAATGAGATATGGTGCCCTCTTCTGGCCTGTAGGGTCATAGGCTCATATGCAGGCAGAACACAGTATACATAATAAATAAATAAATCTAAAAGAAAGGCAAACTTCGTTAGTTGCTTTCTTTGCACAACGGAAAATGCTGTCTCCACACATTAGCTCACTTAATCCCTAAAACATCCCCCCTAAGAAGTAACAATTTATGATGATGAAGGAAGAGAGAGTAAGTGACTTTTTCTGGCCAGTTGATGAAAAGGCATGGAGAGTGAAGATTTGAACCTAAGCCTGTTTCTAGAATTCAGGCTTAACCTCACCCCCAGCCCAGATCTGCTTTATAGGAGCCTCATTTCCACTCAGGACCATGAGTATAGCCTTGAATGTTTTTCCCTGCACACGTTTGATCAAATGCTAAGATGAATGACCTCTGACCTCCCCTTCCAGTGCAACTGAAAGGAGTCCATGAAAAATGGGCTTCCAACCCCCTGCTGCAGCCTCTCAGCTTTCGTGCTGAACAGCTGGCCAAAACACTGTCTGCTCTACTACAAAAATCCATCTTCTACCTCAAGCAGAGTGACCCCACATACCTAAGAGGTAAGAGCAGGGTGGGCCTATTGCATCCTGGGTGCTCACTGAAACACCTAGATATGAGCTTCCCCTGAAGCATGGCAGGGTCAGGACAGTCCACACCAGTCACTGGGAAGCCACAGATGACACAGCCACTTCCTGGCTTTAATCCAGACTACCCATCATAGACCAGAGAGACAATCTGAGGTGGCCTGACTCCTTGCAAAAAAAAAAAAAGTCCATCGTCTTGCCCCTTTTAAGGATCCCCCCACAGAGCAGTGGTTCTCAACCTTGCTAATGCTGTGACCCTTTAATACAGTTCTTCATGTTGTGGTGACCCCCAGACATAAAACTATGTTCATTGCTACTTAATAACTGTAGTTTTGCTACAGTTATAAATCATAATGTAAATATCTGTCTTTCCCAATGGTCTTAGGTGACCCCTGTGAAAGGGGTCAAGACCTACAGGTTGAGAGCCACTGCCACAGAGGCTCCTGTCTTATAAGCCTCATTCATCTGTTCCTTGTAGATGGGCTTTTCTTTCCCACCTGCCAGTTCCCAAATAACTGACATGGAGACTCAATATTAATTATAAATGCTCGGCCAATAGCGCAGGCTCATTACTAACTAGTTCTTACAACTTAGATTAACCCACTTCTACTAATCTACGTATTGCCACATAGCTCATGGCTTTACCTGTCCTCCAGCATGTCTTGTTGCCTCTGTATCTCCTGGCAACTCCTCTAACCCTGCCCTTCTTCTCCCCAGAACTCTGCTAGTCTGGCTCTTCTGCCCAAACCCTCCGGTTCAGCTATAGGCCATTCAACTCTTTATTAACCAATGACATTAATACATATAGGACTAATATATTACATATAATACAGGAGTATGGGTGAGGGGGTACTCACAGGAGTATTGGTGAGAAGTTACTCACAGGCTTATGGGTGAAGGGTTACTCACAGGAGTATGGGTGAGGAGTTACTCACAGGAGTATGGGTGAGGAGTTACTCACAGGCTTATGGGTGAAGGGTTACTCACAGGAGTATGGGTGAGGAGTTACTCACAGGAGTATGGGTGAAGGGTTACTCACAGGAGTATGGGTGAGGACTTACTCACAGGAGTATGGGTGAGGAGTTACTCACAGGAGTATGTGTGAGGAGTTACCCACAGGAGTATGGGTGAGGACTTACAGGAGTATGGGTGAAGGGTTACTCACAGGAGTATGGGTGAGGACTTACTCACAGGAGTATGGGTGAGGGGTTACTCACAGGAGTATGGGTGAGGAGTTACTCACAGGAGTATGGGTGAAGGGTTACTCACAGGAGTATGGGTGAGGGGTTACTCACAGGAGTATGGGTGAGGAGTTACTCACAGGAGTATGGGTGAGGAGTTACTCACAGGCTTATGGGTGAAGGGTTACTCACAGGAGTATGGGTGAGGAGTTACTCACAGGAGTATGGGTGAGGAGTTACTCACAGGAGTATCTCTGTTTCCCACCTGGCTAAATCCTCCCTGTCAGTTGGCTGAAACAGCTTTATTCATCAATCAATAAGAGAAACATATATTCACAACATACAGAAGGACATCCCCCATCATCTCTCTTTTCTAAAATAAAAGGGAAGGTTTTAAATTTAACATAGCAAAGTTATATATAACAAAACAGTTATCAAACAATAATTATAGTTACAATATTTAGTCCATTAACATTTGACAAAATTTAAAGAAAATATTCTATCATCTATCCTATCTTTGTGAGTCTACAGTTTTATATGTAATCTATCTTTTACCATACCTAAGGAAAATCATAACTATCTGTCTTCAATTCCATCAAAGACCCCAGAAGGATAAAATATAAACTCTAGAATTGACAGAGACATCTTGCTGCCTGGAGAGTCACCCTAAGTTCCTTTGTAATGTTGAGTCATCCATCTTCAGCCTATAGGCCCAGAGTGTCTGACAGACTTTTTTTTTTGGTTTTTCGAGACAGAGTTTCTCTATATTGTTTTGGAGGCTGTCCTGGAACTCGCTCTGTAGACCAGGCTGGCCTCGAACTCACAGAGATCCGCCTGCCTCTGCCTCCCGAGTGCTGGAATTAAAGGTGTGTGCTACCAACACCCGACTCTGACAGACTTTTTGATGAAGCAGGAACATTGAAGGACCATCCTGTCCCTTGGCAAGTTCAGCAATCTCTTTTCTTTGTAACCTGCTTGTTTAGTTTGGACAGTGTGCTGTCAAGCAGTCCAGGCAAGAGAAGTTTTTGTCCAAATGGCTGTCCTTGCCACAATGAAGGCAAGCCCAATAATGAGTTTCATTGATACCCATCATTCTCTCTCATGTAATTGGTGTTGCCAGGAATAAATGTGCCTCATTGTCATGAAAAGTCCTAAGTTAAAAAAACATTTTAAATGTCGTATTCTGTAAGTCTTTGAAATGTTTTAAGACTATCTCTCCTTCTCAAATATGTCTCTGTATATTTAGAGAACTAACATGACTATAAGTTTTGACTATTAAGATGACTATCTATAAACTGTGCTTTTTAATTATACATTACATTTTGTTTTGTTTTTCGAGACAGGGTTTCTCAGTGTAGCTTTGGAGTCTATCCTGGCACTCGCTCTGTAGACCAGCTGGCCTCAAACTCACAGCAATCCGCCTGCCTCTGCCTCCCAAGTGCTGGGATTAAAGGCGTGTGCCACCAACATTACATTTTAAATGAACTGTATGGACACAATACCTAAACGATAGTAGAAAATATACATATAACAAAACTAACCTTAAATTTGTATCAGTAAACTAAAATCTAAACCAATGTATTAATTTTATATCATATTTTCTTTAGAAAGAGATTGACTGTGATCACGAACTATTTATGATTAACCCCATTTAAAGGAAACAAACATTTATAAACAATATTTGGGTATTTGGGGATTTGAACATAGTTCCCTCCAAACTGCTTCCTGCTGTTTGGGTGCACTGTCAGTCCCATGGGGATCCTGAGAAAACCCAGTGAGGCTGCATTGTCTCAGCTGTTTTGGATGTTGCACCACCTGGGCCACTGCTTCAGGGGCTCTTGCTTGATCATATTAGTCTGGAAGGAATTCACAGTTTTTCATCTTCTATGGAGACAAAAGCAGAACCTCTTTTGCAAAGTAACATGTCCTTAGACTTAAATTTTGAAGTCAAAGCATTGTGAAAATATATAGGTGGGATTAATCCAGCAGCGTTTATAATCAAATGTCTTTTAGCAGCTGTTGCTCTTTCCTCAGCAGTCAAGCAATTCAAAGATGACATAATAACATACAATATCCAGACTCTCTGTGTATTTTCCATCTTTATGTGGCTTTTTAAAATTACTATATTTTGGTTTTTTTGAAACAGGGTTTTTCTGTGTATCCTTGGCTGTCCTGGAACTCGCTCTGTAGAACAGATTGGCCTTGAACTCACAGAGATTCACCTGCCTCTGCCTCCCGAGTACTGGAATTAAAGGTGTGCATCACCAACGCCCAGCTCTATTTCTTTTTTAAGGACTTTATACTTTTTTTCTCTCCCAAGCCTACATATATTCTTAAACACACTATAAACTGTTTAAAGGGGTTTTGTTGTTGTTGTTTGTTTTCCATCTGGATCTTTCTTTACTGTATATCTCTATCTTTTCTGACCACATGAGTCTTTATTCTGCTAAGCTGCATGGATTAAAGCTGTGGCTTGGTGGCTGGCTCTGCCTCATTCTTGACTTCCCGGGAGTCTAGCTTCGTGGCAGAGGTACTGGCAGGAGACATGTTTATTGCCACAACTCTGCAGAGTTTCTTGGTCCATGCTACCACCAAGAAGTGTGCCGCCAGCTGCTCATAAACACCACCTAAGATTTGGCAGCAGGGCCTCTTAAAAGAGCCCTGCAGTTTTTGGCACTAACATTGAGTCAGGAAGCCTCCTGTAGAAAACAGAGCCCATCTGAGGGAACGCTGCTACCACCATGCTTGACACTATTCTTTTGTGTTCAGAATTCTTTTTTAAGTTTTCTTGACCTGCCTTGTCTTGGCAAGGTTTTCAGTCACTCTTTTTGGTGTCCTGTTTGTCAACTTAGCTGGGATTGACATGCTGATAATTATCATTTTGATAATTTTTGTTGTCATTTTGATAACTCTTAGTTTATCTCTAAATAATTGGTTGATGTAAGTGCTAAGAAGCAGACCTTAGAAAAACTTATTAAAACACATTATAAAGATATTAAAACCCAGACTGAGGAATTACATGGAGAACCAAATTCAGCATTGCATTTTCAGGTTAAAAACGAAAACTCTAAGGTCTTAAGAGAACCACCTTTAATATATCCAGTAATGGAATAGATTCTAGAAGAGCTACTTGGAAGCCTGTGACAAGTTAGATTTAGGGAAATTCAAGGAAGTAATAGTCTCATATGCCATCCATTCACCATTTGTGAAGCAGATGATAAACACATGGTCTGTTTGTAATAGAGTTATCCCTATAAATTGCATAGATTTGATTAAAGCTGTCCTAGATCCTAGACCACAATTACAGTGGACTTCCTGGTTCATAGAAGAGGCTAAGGATATTGAACAAAATACTAAAGCTAAAGGTATAGATATCTTACAAGATCAAATTCTTGGTGAAGGAAATTATGCTCCTTTAGAAAGGCAATGTCAATATGATGACCACCTCTTGGGTTTATTCCATGTAGCAGCTTTGAATGCTTGGAACAGAATTGGAGAAGCAAGAAAGAAAACTGAATCATTTACAAAAGTTATACATGGCCCGGGGCTGGAGAGATGGCTCAGAGGTTAAGAGCACTGACTGCTCTTCCAGAGGTCTTGAGTTCAATTCCCAGCAACTACATAGTGGCTGACAACCATCTACAATTCAATTTGGTGTATATGTAATAAATAAATAAATCTTGAAAAAAAAGTTATGCATGGCCCAAAGGAAGCATTCATGGATTTCTTACAAAGGCTCATCAGCAGTCAATAGCGTGATATCATACACAGAAGCTAGAAAAATAATAATTGAAA